ACACTCAAGTAAAACCATCCTCAAGTAATGTCTGCCATGCTCAAGTAAAGTGTGCCATGCTCAAGTGAAATCACATCCTCAAGTAAAAGCTCAACAGGTAAAGTCACACCCTCATGTAAAAGCTTCTCAAGTAAAGTCAGATCTTCTTCATGTAACAGCTTCTCAACATCATGTCACAATGCGTGCCCTCAACTCTACCCCAAAGGCTGCTTGTGTCTTTTTCACTCCAAGGATTCCAGAGATGAACTGCTGTCATCTTGCAGCGTCCTCATCAAGTCCATCATGGCATTGATGCGGTCACGCCTCCTGACAATGGTTTCAAGCCAACATTGACATAACTCTTGTTCATTTGCTGCAGTTAATACAAACTTGAACAATTAATTTTCAACAAACAAACTTGTTTAAAGTTCAGTCCAAGAATCTTGTCAGCTTTGCGCAATTTCCTGGCCCTTTCACTGCTTGTTTCCTTCTTGCTGAGGTGTCTCTTGTTCTTCTTCTTTTTCTTCTTCTCACAGAGCCAAAAGATCTCTCACATAAAACATGCACCCTCACACTGGCAAAAACCATTAGAGAATCAGAGAATGCTCTTGTTCCTAAAGTGAAGAAAAGTACATATCCTCAAGTAAATTTACTCCCTCAAGTAGACACCCTCAAGTAAAAATGTTTTGTTCAAGTCAAGAAGGGTACACATGCTCAAGTAAATGCAATCCCTTCAAGTAAAGGCAAAGTCCACACCTCCTGGCATGCTCAGTCAACAAAAACAAAAATCCATAGCGCAAATATCCTCAAGTACATGTTGTCCTGTAGAAAACCTGCCTCTTTGGAGAAAGCCAACTCACATAAATAGAGACATTTTCTGCTTCAAAATCATGCTCGCAAAAATTTACTCATAACCTAAAAAATTTACTAATAACCTAAATTGGATTTACTAATAACCTAAATTGGATTTACTCATAACCTAAATTGGATTTACTATTAAATTTACGTAAATTTTTACGTAAATTTTCCTGTGTAAAACCAAAAATTTACGTAAATTTTATGGTTAGTAAAATTACTAATTTGGGTGACTTAGGGTAGTACGCGGAGTATCTGGGAAGCTGGAAGATGAGAACTGGCGACTTTGTAGTACAACTTTAGTACGC